TATTTATGTGGAAACGGATACTCCCCGTTCCCACGTCAATGTTGGCTCCCGCGGTGCTAAGGAACGGACACCCTAGGATAAGCGGCGTCTCCTTTCCTGTGTCCATATCCAGCACCACGAAGTCAACCTGGATGAAGAAATCCCGTATCTTGACTGGAACATCCTCCGGTATCCCTGTCAGGTAACGGACTGATGAATCAGCCAGCTGAAGGCACATCGGTGTTGGTGCCAACACCGTGAAGTTGAGCTTGTCGAAGACGTCTTTTGGCATGACGCTGACACTGGCTCCAAGGTCGCACAAGGCCTGGTCTAACTGTTGTGCCCCGATTGAGCAGGTGATCGTAGGACAGCCCGGATCTTTCTTCTTCTCCGGGAGCTTGTAGAGTATCACGTTGCTGCATTGTTCTGTCAGCTTGACCATCTCTGTTGTTGGGAGCGGTCTCTTGTTGTTGAGTATGTCCTTGAGATAACGAGTATATGTTGGCACTTGCATAGCGTCCAACAGTGGCACGTTGATGTGGATTTTCCGGATTACATCAACAAAATGAGCAGATTGCTCGTCCACTAACGGTTTCCTACTCCATTGAGGAAACGGCAGCAACCGTGTGTCGCAGTATTACTGCGGCACGGTCTTCTCTGGCTGAACTTCCTTGTCAGCCGAGTCACTAGATGGCGCTTCTTTGGTTATCCCAGTAGTTCCTGCAGGGTTAGGATATGGCGGATCACGAGCGGACTTACCTCCCCTTGTCGTGATCACCTTGACATTTTCAATGGAGAAGTCGGGTTGCCCCGGAATCCTCCCAGTTTCATTTGCATGGACTAAGGATGCAAACTGAGCTAGTTGGGTTTCTATCATTTTATTGAAGCTCAGCTGGTTTTGAAAAGCAGAAGCAAAGCCATCTAACTTGACGTTCATATTTTCTAGGTTCTTATCATTGGCAGCAAGCTTTTTGCTTAGCGCATCAGTGGTTTTAGCTTACGCAAAAACTAGATCTTTCAAGGAGGGCTAGTTAGAAAACTTATCGTTATTGTTACCTTCTTGATAATATGGGCGTGGTTGGTTCCACCCCTGACCTCCTCGTGGAAGGTACCCGTTGTTGCCCATGTGCATCGCCTCCTCACGGGTTTCCGGGCAGTCATTCTTAGAGTGATCTATGCCGCCGCAGACTTCACATGTGATGTGAGAGTCCAAGGCCTTGACAGTGCCTTGTGGCCGTTTCTCGTGGTCGTCGAAGCGTTTCATGAGGAGGTCCAGCTTGGCAGCAAGTAATTCCGTCTCCTTGACGGTGTGCATGCCTCGCTGACGGGTCTGGAGTCGTTCCTTGCTCCAACTCATATTGGAGACCATCTTCTCTATTAGATCAACGGCTCCTTGAACCGTTTTAGAGAAGAAAGCTCCCCCAGCTGCCGCGTCCAAGTGATCGCGGGACATAGGGGTGAGTCCATTGTAGAAGTTCTGCAGGATCAGCCAGTCGTCCATCCCATGATGAGGACAGGCGGCCACATACTCCTGCAGTTGTTCCCATGCTTCCGGAATGGACTCGTCCCTTGTCTGCTGGAAACTAGAAATCCTCCCACGAAGGGCATTGGTTTTGCCCATCGGGAAGAATTTCGAGAGGAATGCCGTAGAGCACTTGTCCCAGGTATTGACAGTAGCACGGTTGGCATAGAACCACTGTTTCGCTCTCCCGAGAAGGGAGAACGGAAACAGCCTTAGCCTGACGGCGTCTGGACTAACGCCCTTGATGGTGTACGTGCTACAGATCCCTAGGAACTGTTGCAGATGAGCGTTGGCATCCTCATTAGGCTTGGCACAGAACGGGCAAGCCTGCACCATAGTGATGAGGCTAGACTTCAAGTCGAAATCCACGTCTCCCATGTTGATCTGCGGCCAATTGGCCACATTGTCAGTAGATGGAGCAGCGAACTCGCGGAGAGTCTTGTTAGCCATAGTCTTGAAGGTCGGTGGCGCTGGTACGGCTGGTTTCTCTGTTGGTAGAGTTTTCTGCGGAGCAGCTACTCGCGGCCTGAGGCTCGGAAGAAAGCTTCTGGATTTTCTTTGAAGGTTTCCGGCAAGTTGAAACCAGTCATGCACTACCCTATTTTCACAACAAAAGTGACAACAACCAATGTTAGCCTGCAAAGGAAAATGATTATACAAAGGTAAATATAAAGTATTAGTTCAGGTAATCTCTATTATGAATCTTCCCCAGCAACGGCGCCAGAATTGCTTTTTGGTATTTCTTAACGACATCGCTAGAAATATAATTCCCAGCAATGGCGCAGAAACACTCCTGGTATATTATGGTTACATAGTCTATCCGCAAGCGCACAGGAATACCATTATAGCATTTCACCCGAGAGTATTCCAAGGGCATCGTATTTATTTTATCCCATGGGAAGATCATGTAGAGAGAACTTGACTAATAATTTATATATTACTTGTGATAACCATATTCTAAGCAGGGGTTAAGATAATCCAAGGGGTAGAGTGACACACAAGCATTAGCTACTCATTCTCATAATATATTATCTAAGCTAAGTGGAAAGAAAAGAGAAAGAGAATATATTCCTATACTTCTAGTATACATAATATACATACATTCTAGTCAACCGATATACTAGCTAATACCCTCTATCCGATGCTCTCCTGGTACTTCGAGAAGCCACCCCTGACTGCCGAGTTCCTTACGACAGCCCGTGATGACCATACAACTAGGGCTAAATACGGAGGAATACCCTCCCCAGGAAATTAACTTAGGATTATATACAGGCGCGGAGGAATACCCGTACTGAGCTGTCAGCATCAGCGGCCCACCTCTTATCCGCAGCATATAACCCTAAATAATGATATCCCGTAATCTAGACACCACGTCTAAACTACTAGATACTACTCTAATATCATCGTCATGACATAGAGTAATTGCATAGGCAAACATTATACCCGCACCAAAGAATCTCCCAGATAAGCTAGCCGTATATTCAGTATAACATAAACATAATGTAAAGTAGGCATTCATATACTCGGAGAGTATTTCAATACCATAAATGTATAAAGAAGAGTATTCTAATGAAAGTACAAAGCTTACAAAAGAAAAGAGAAAAGCTACTAGAGCCATACCCGAATTCTTCCGAAGGCTTCCGGACTCCTGATTCTACTCTATTATAATTCCACCAGCTAGATACTACTAAACTAAACTTGAGAGAAATGAGAGAGCTCTTGCTTGACGTGTGTCTTGAAGTGAAGAGAGTGAAGTCCTTTTATAGGCAGGTATGATGGTTGTAACCGCTGCGAAATGTCTAAAGTACCCCGCAACCGCCATCAGGAGAAGATCTGGAGCGTTCCTGCCAAACCCCACATCCAACGGTGGAGAGGGAGGTTCGGCCGAACCCCCTGGGGCCGGCCCAACCAGTCCATGGTTTGGCTGGCAGCCTCCTCTGTTATTCTTCTCCGCAGACTTGTCAATTTTGGCTCAGTTTGTCGTGTCAATTCTGAGTTCTTGGCGCATTCATACATAAATCTGGTTCTCGACATCGTCCGATTGATTTATCGTCTGTGTTGATGTCGATTCTCCTCCACTTTATGATTATTCTCTGAAAAAAGTTAGTATACCAAATACTAGAGGAATATTATTATTTTAATACATTTATGCATTGCAAGAATCACTAGTTCTCCTCTATTTTGGTAATATTGACGGTCGAAACTAATCGATAACGACCGTCAACAATGGACCGGATGCTCGCTTGCAGGCCGAGGTGGAATGGAGGAGAAGTGGGGTTAACAGGCCGGTTCGGCTACGGGCTAAAGAAATAATGGGCTCAAAATGGCCCAGGGAGAAACGAGGGTTTTCTTTTAGATCATTTAAATAAATGATAAAATGATGTTTGTATTATTAAAATAGCAATGGAGATATGAAAATATCGAAAAAATTTCGCATAGTGTAATTAATCATGGAGAATTTAATAAAAATTAAATGCAACCATAGTTTATTCGGGAAATTTTATTTTCCACATTTACCTTGAATTTCATTAGCCTTTCTTTTCTTCAACATCGTATACACCTCTAATTGCGATTTTATATTTTAATTAATTACATAATGTAAATATTTCTCAACCTTTTCTTAAATTTCTCATGTTTTTCCCGTTGCAATGCACGGGTATTTTTTCTAGTATATAATGAATTTGAGGATGATACTTTACACGTAGTTGTAATACTATTAAAAGGATATATACATTTTTTTATGCTTTTTAGTTGATGTGCACGGTGTGTACACGGGAATGCTTGTATGTATAGGATATGCGTACCCCATAATGGCATTCACCAATTCATGCTGCTAAAGGAAGGTTTATGGATGGGAAGTTAACTGTGGTGGCAAAAAAAAAAGAGAGGGAAAAACATTTGTTAACGACATTTTGTAGAATTTGTGTTCACCGACAGCAATTTGTAGAACCGGGTTATTGTCGTTGATAAAACATACACCTTCCGTCCTAAATTATACGGCGCCTATTTTTTAAGAAAATTTAAACTCGGTAACTTTTAACTAATGATCATAGTAACGTTAATTGTTATGCATGTTATATCACTAGATTTATATTTTGAAGCAGATGCTAATTTTATATTCATTGGAAACATAACATAAAATAAATTAATAGTTAAATTATGTCATTAAATACCGTATAAAAAAATATAGGTATTAAGACAGAGGGAGTATATAGTAGAATTTCTCACATTGACACGCGGCAAAACAAATACGCGCCATCCCTAATTGTCAGTTTTCCCATTTTGAGCTTCCAATAACGAGGAATGAAGAACCCAAGCCCGGCCGTCAACCTCGGCCATGAACTCCCGATATAGTTCGCCGGCCAATGGACATGCAATTAATGGCGATCCATCCTTAGCCAACACCGCAATGGAATGACCGATCGATCCGTGCGATCGCGAGTAGGTCGCGGAGAGACCATCTCCCCCCATTCGAGGCCTCCTATATATGTACACACACCTCCTCCATCCATGTCCCAAGCTGCATGCCATGGCGAGGACGTCGATGACGACGACATCCAGGGCCCTCGCGCTGGTGCTCCTCTCGTCTTGCTGCCTCCTCGTCGCCGTCGACGCGGCCTACGCCAAGAAGCCGAATCTGTCCAAGAATGACTTCCTCTCCTGCCTAGCCGCCGGCATCCCCGCCCGGCAGCTGTACGCCAAGGGCTCGCCGTCGTACGGCTCCGTGCTGACGTCCACCATCCGGAACCTCAGGTACTTGTCGTCCAAGACGTGCAACCCGCTGTACATCGTCACACCGACCGACGTGAAGCACATCCAGGTGGCCGTCTCCTGCGGCCGCCGCCACAACGTCCGCATCCGCGTGCGCAGCGGCGGCCACGACTACGAGGGCCTCTCGTACCGGTCGGAGATCCCCGAGCCGTTCGCCATCGTCGACCTCGTCAACATGCGGAACGTGACCGTCGACGGCAAGGCGCGCACGGCGTGGGTGGAGTCCGGCGCGCAGATCGGCGAGCTCTACTACGGCATCTCCAAGGCGAGCCCCACGCTGGCGTTCCCGGCGGGCGTGTGCCCGACCATCGGCGTCGGGGGCCACTTCAGCGGCGGCGGGTTCGGCATGCTGCTGCGCAAGTTCGGCCTCGCGTCCGACAACGTGCTCGACGTGAAGGTGGTGGACGCGAACGGCAAGGTGCAGGACCGGAAGTCGATGGGGGAGGACTACTTATGGGCCGTCCGCGGCGGCGGCGGCTCGAGCTTCGGGATCGTGGTGTCGTGGAAGCTGAGGCTGTTGCCGGTGCCGGCGACGGTGACGGTGATCCAGATGCCCAAGATGGTGAACGAGGGCGCCGTCGACCTCCTCACCAAGTGGCAGTCCCTCGCGCCGACGTTCCCGGAAGACCTGATGATCCGCGTGATGGCGCAGGCGCAGAAGGCCGTGTTCGAGGGCCTCTACCTCGGCACCTGCGACGCGCTCCTCCCGCTGGTGACCAGCCGCTTCCCGGAGCTGGGCGTCAACCGCTCCCACTGCAACGAGATGTCATGGGTGCAATCCATCGCGTTCATCCACCTGGGCAAGAACGCCACCGTCAAGGACATCCTCAACCGGACCTCCTCCATCCGAGCCTTCGGCAAGTACAAGTCGGACTACGTGACGCAGCCACTGTCCAAGGCGACATGGGACACCATCTACAAGGACTGGTTCTCCAAGCCGGGCTCCGGCATCATGATCATGGACCCGTACGGCGCCACCATCAGCAAACCCGGCGAGGCGGACACGCCGTTCCCGCACCGGAAGGGGATGCTGTACAACATCCAGTACATCACCTTCTGGTTCGGCGAGGGCGCGCCGGCGGAGGCGCCGATCAAGTGGATCAGGGACTTCTACGCGTTCATGGAGCCGTACGTCACCAAGAACCCGAGGCAGGCGTACGTCAACTACAGGGACCTCGACCTCGGCGTCAACGCCGTCGAGGCCGGCGCCAACGTCTCCTGCTACCAGGTCGGCAAGGTGTGGGGCGAGAAGTACTTCAAGGGCAACTTCGAGAGGCTCGCCAGGACGAAGGCCAAGGTGGATCCCACCGACTTCTTCAGGAACGAGCAGAGCATTCCTCCATTGCTCGCGTGATCGATCGATCGACAGAAATTAATCATCGACGGAAACGCACAATTTGCATCGAGATTTAATTAGTGTGTGTGAGTGGTGAGTACGATTAATTAAGTACTTGGACGTGTCACATGTCCAACAAATAAAGATCAACCAACTAACGTATAATCGTAAGAAGATTATTGTTTTTTTTTCTTTTTCATACACGTGTGCGCGTATGAGTTCTACTTCCTCCGTTTTATAATGTAAAACTTTCTAGCATTGCCCACGTTCATTTATATGTTAATGAATCTAGATATATGTATGTGTTTAAATTCATTAACATCTATATGTATATGAGCAATGTTAGAAATTCTTATATTATGAAACGGAGGGAGTAGCTAGTAGCGTTTTACATTTCAATGTTCGTGCCATCCACTTAATTTATTGCGTGATGAGATTCAAATAGTTTTGCTGTTTGTTAGTATACTGTTTCTTTTTTTCCTATTGTGTTTACCTAAACTTAGATAATGCATAGTTTAAATTTACTATTGCTAGCTAGCATCGGCCATCTTAATTCCATCCAACGATTGATCATTTTGTCATTGCCGGATTATAAGTGAATTACTCATTTTTCAGTGATGTAGATTTCAGTTGAATTGATTGGTGCATGCAACTTAATATATATAACATCGAGTAGCGGAATTTGGAGGTTTTAATATCGCCAAACCCGGCAAAGCTGGGGAGAATCGGATGTAACATTTTCTGTAGATATCCGTGGATATATTATTTGCCTGATTCCGAGTCCGTATTAGAAAGTTACGCCTATTTTAATAAATGACACCCGAATGACTTTTCGGTAGAGCTTTGGAAAATTTTACAAGTCACATATTTTGTCCGTTTGAGTTTATTTTTTCTATGATTGGTTCCTGTATTCTCCTAAGTATGAAAAAAATATCAAAAAAATAAAATAAAAATAAAAAAAACTACATCTCTCTGTACCGTGTTTAACTTATGGCTATCATTTCATGTGGTTATATTTTGAATTAGATTAAGTAATTTCATATAGTGGTAGAGTGCATTATATTTAACATGCAGATCAAAGGGTTTTACTAAAGGAGTTATGGTCTAATTTTGATAAAGGTGCAAAGTAGGCTAAGTGGTATGCTATTTTCAAACTTCTAGCTATTAAGTGGTATATTCCGTTCGAGTTTAATTTTGTTGTAGTTGGTTGTATCGTGATCCTAAGTGCGAAAAAAACATCGAAGGAATAAAACAAAAATAAAAAGGTTGCAACTCTATACAGAGAAATAGGAATGGAGGTGAGGGGTGGGGGGGCGGCGCCAGCGTGGCTGGCGCCCTCCTCCCTAGGGCGGCGCCAGCCATGTTGGCGCCCTCCTCTTGCCACGTCGGTTCGCGTGTGCCACGGTGGCAGGAGGACGGCGCTAGCCACTCTGGCGCCCCAAAAAGGACCATTTTTAGGATAAGTTTTTTTAGGGTCTATTTGCAAAATAAGTTTTTCAAAAGGACCAAAATGTGAAAAATCCAAGGTCAGACGGCTTCCTGGGCTTCATTGGCTAATATCAGTTGTTGATTTTTTTTTTATAACAGGCATTCATTAATACCCGGCTTTTAAACAAAGCCTAAGAACAGAACAGGAGTCTTACAAAAACACAAAGAAAGACAGCTAGCTTAGGCTAAACAAACTGACACGAGAGCACAGATATCACTGGAGATGCCCAGCAATAAGAAAAAAAAACCCCTAACAACAGAACAGGGAACATAACATGCTAAACCAAAACCCGACCCCTTAGCCAAACTCCAGATCATCCGGTAATCTCCCTAGCGGACGGAGTTGTTGTAGTTGCGCCAAAAACTGTTTAATCAGTAGCTCCAGACGATCCCCTTCTTTTCTTCTTTGTATGGGTCTCCAACGCTGTAGCAGTGAGATTATCCTGTACACCACCTGTAAAGGAGACGAAGGCAATTTGTTGTTAAAAACCCAATCGTTTCCTTGTTAGCCAGATATCCAAATCCAGCCTGCAAAAATGACAACCCGAGTTTCCCCCCTAACTTCTGTTTCAAAAGATTCAAACCCTCCTAAAAAGATACAGGGGTTGAGGTAAGGTGTATGGCTTCCCTAACCACACACCAAGCAAATTTTGCAATGGGGCAAACAAAAAGCACATGATTAACTGTCTCAGAATTTCCACACATCTTACATTTGTCATCACCCTCTTTCTAGCTTCTCTTTACTAACTGGAAAGTACAAGGAATCCTCCCCCTCCCTACATGACAGGCAAAATGCTTAATTTTCATAGGCATTTTACCCCTCCAGATCCCCAATATATCTGTATCAATCACACCCCCAAAAGTCATAATTCTGTACATAGATTTGGCAGAGAAGCTCTTCTTTTTAGAATGAGGCTAGACCACTTTATCATGCTCAGAAGACATCACCACCCGCTGAACTTTAGAAAGCAATTCTGCAAGCTGAGCTCTTTTCTCTTCATTGAGGTGTCTCCTGAAACTCAAAACCCAGGCACCCCCTTGCCAGATTTCACTGACTGTAGCATTTTATTGAGTGTTTACTTCATAAAGGTTAAGGGAACATAATTTTAAGGAGACAAGAAGCCACCCACACATCATTCCAGAAGCTAGTAGTCAGACTATTCCCCACATTCTTTCCAACCATACTCCCCAACCAGGATTTGCACACATGCAACCCCCTCCAGAACTGAGAGCCACCTTTTGGAGAACTTTGAAAAAAACCTTTTTGCCCAGAGTAATTTTTCTTAAGCACCTGGAAGCACATCCCTGGGTCATTTGACTCCAATTTCATAATCCACTCACTAAGCAAACATATATTCATCACCAAACCCCAAACCCCCATAATCCTTTGGTATGCACAAGGCCTGCCACTTAAAAAAGTGATACTTCTTTTTCCCAGCAGTTCCTTGCCAATAGAATCTCCCCCTCAAACTGTCCATTTTCTTATGAAAGTAACCAGGTAAATAGAAAAAGCCCATGTAATATAAAGGAATGCTTGTGAGACAGGAATTAATCCTGATCTCCCTCCCCCAAAAGAGAGGTGACCACTATGCCAAGACTCAAGTCTTTTTCTAGCCTTTTGCATGGCAGGAATAAGATCCTTCTTCTTGAGCTTGTCGACTCCCATAGACAAACCAAGGTAAACAAAAGACATCTCCCCCACTTTACAATTTAATATATCAGCAATCCTCAGTTCCTCTTCTTTCTCAACCCCTAGGACATAAACCTCACTTTTCTGATAGTTTATCTTCATTCCTGTCATTTCTTCAAAACAGAAAAGTAGGAATTTTAAAGCCAAGATGTCCCCCTCCTCAATGGTAGTAAAGAGAATGGTATCATCTGCATACTGCATATGAGAAAGCCCCCCTTCAACTAAATGAGGAACAATGCCTCCCAGCACCCCATTTCTTACAGCCTCTTCCAGAATAACAGACAAAGCATCACCTACAAGATTGAAGAGGAAAGGGGACCAGGGATCCCCTTGCCTCAGACCTCTAGAAGTCCTAAAGTAGGGACCTAGCTTCCCATTCACTTTTCTGTATATCAGTTGTTGATTAGTGAAGATAATTATTAAATGTTTCTAACAACGAAAAACTAAACTTCATCGACCGGGCTGGCTCCGCCACTGTTAGAGCCATGTCAAGAGTTTGAATCCTAATTGGTATGCAATTAAATAAAAATTGTAACCTATTTTTAGTCCATGCTCTAGGCTTGAGAGGGATCCTCTTTGTCTCTCCCTTGGCCGCCTCCTTTGATGCGCAATCCTTTTCTTTCTCGCCTCCACACCGCCACCTCCATGTCGTGACGAGAATGTGCTAGGCCCAGCCGAGCTTTGGCGTAACAGGTTACTCGTAGTTCTTGAGCTTTGCCACAGCCTTGTTGAGCAATGTGCAGAAGCACCATGCCAAGTCTGATGGTGATGGAAGTGGCAAGCATGATGGCCAAACACATGAGGAAACCTGACCGCCATGATCGTCCTCACGAACCTTCGCTCTGTTTGCAGCACCATTGTCGTTGCCCCTCCAGTTGACTGAGGCACTGAGCTATGGGGATAGGTGCCACCACGACGAGCAACCATTAGCGGCATAGGCTCTGGGATCCCTCCGCATTTACCTATCGCTGAGGCATAGCGATAGTGCAGAGCGATGATGGGGCACGGGATAGCTACTGACGGTAATGACCATGGGTAGACAATGATTAGCTCAGTGAAGGAGCAGCCGTCGATGGCTATACAAGAAATTGCGAAGGTCGCCTCATCTTGCTTCACTGGGACAGAGATGGAGAGAAAACAAAGGAGGGAGAGAGTAGGGGCGGTAAGAAAGGATGCTTGTGGCCCATGCTGCATTTTTTTAACCCTTTCCCTAGGATACTTACATGTGGATCCCACCCATTTGAAAGACCAAGTTAAAGTGCACATCACATCTTATCTTACCTAATTAAAATATTCGTATTTTTCCTTTCGTCACAAGAGGGTGCAGCCATCGGCGGTGCGCCTTCACCCGCAGCCCCAAATCCCAATCGCTCTCAGCCTTCCTAAAATCGTCACAAGCAAATAATTCTTTGCCCTCCCCCCCAAAAAAAAAAATCAACCACAATCATCACAAAACTTCACTCGCCTGCCGCCGGATCCATCCTCGGCCATCGCCACGCCATCCATCCGCGGCTGCCGCCGACGCCACCACCACCGCCGGAGGGAGAAGAGAGGCGACGGAGGGAGCCGCCGCTGCTGGATCCGCCCGCGGTCGGCGCCGATGCCGCCACCGCAGCCGGATCAGCCGCGGGAGGAGGGCGAGAGGGGACAGAGGGAGCTGCCGCCGCTGGATCCGCCCATGGCAGACGCCGCCGCCGGAGGATCTGCCCGCGGCTACCGCTGACGCCGCCACAACCAGCGGATCTGCCGCGGGTGGGAGTCTAGAGGGGTGGAGGGAGCCGCCGCTAACCCGCCGCCGCCGCCACCGCCGTATCTACCGCGGGAGGGAGGCGACAGGGAGATGAGGAGGGGAGAGGAAGGCGAGACAGGGCGGAGGGAGGGGCCACCGGCGAGGGAGGTGAGACAGGCTGGAGGGAGCCACTGCTGCAGCTGCTCATGGGGGAGGAGCGTCGCCGCCATCGTCGCTTTTTGATTCGATTCGAGAGAGGGGATCGGGGACGGGGAGGGGGGAAAGGAATTTTAGGGTTAGGATTAGGATATTTATCTTAGATGGAATCAATCTGGACCGTCCATTCGATCGGACGGCTCCGGCTTCTCCCGTATCGGACCGCCGGACTATTGGGCCTCCGAGTTATTGGGCGTCCAAATGGGCCGCAGTTAAAATCAATGTTTTCTCTCTCAGTAATTTTAAGCAACTTTCTATTTTCAGAAATAGCATTAATAGCATTTTAAGTGTTTATGACTACTTATTAATTTAATTCCAACTTAATTGAATAAACTAAAAATTTGGCTAGATTTTTCTCATGACATGGATTTATTTTTCGACTAAAAATGTAATTATTTATTTGTCATGATATAGAATTTAAATTTATACTAAAATTAAATAATATTAATTATTTTTTAATTCTATATGGACTCTATTCTTCTTCCAATATTCCTATTTTTTATTGTTCTAATTAGTTTTCTATATGGACTCTAAACTCTTCTTTCAATATTTTTTTATTTTGAATTTTAATTCTTTTTCTGAATTGTATTGCTATATGCACTCTAGGCTCTTTTGGAGAATATTATAGACTCCTCATCCAATATTATTTATTTTATAATTTATACTTTATATTAAGTTGTATTATTTATATAGATAAGATTAATATATCCAGTTTAGGTTTTTTTTTGCCAAAAAAAATTGTTTTATGCAGATATACGATTGGACAACGTAGTTTTTTTTAAAAAAAAAAAGAACAAAAAGCAAAAGTACCAAAGCAGTGTGAAAATAACTTCGGTTAAAAAAAATATTTTTAGTTTTAATACACCATAGCGAAGCACAAGTATTTTGGCTAGTAAAAGACCAAGTTAAATTGCAATGTAGGACCAAACCACCATCAAAACATACTACGAAGGTATAAATTGATCCGGTTTAAGTAGTTGAGGAACCCTCCACACTTTGTTTTACAGTTGACAAATGCGAAAAGGAAAAAGTATACTTTGACTCCCTCAACTATCGCCCGAGTATGATTCATGTCCTCCAACCACAAAACCGGGTATATCGACTCCTCCAACTATCAAAACCGGTACAAACAATACCCCTGGGTGGTTTTAGAGGTGGTTTTAGATGACACGGCGCCTACGTGGCGCTCTTGACCGAGTCTTTATCCTATGTGGCGCTTACGTGGCATTAGAATAAAAAAATAAAAAGAAATATGTGGGATCCATATGTCATTCACACAAATAAAGTATTATGGGACCCACATGTCATCCTCCTTCTCCTTCCCTTCTTCCTCATCCATCCCCCCCCCCCCTCTCCCCCCCTTATCTCTCTCTCCCCTGGCCTTTCTCTTCGGTGGGAAGCGGCCGCAGCAGCGTGCGGCGGTGGCGGTAGGGAGCGGCAGCGGCGGCAGCGGCAGTACATGGGTGAGCTGAAGCGCGCCCTCGACGCGCGCTGCCACGTGTTGCTCGAGATGCCGACGGGCACCGGCAAGACGGCGGCGAGCTCTTCCCCATGTGCGCGGACGGCCGGGAGCTCCTCACTCAAGCGCGGACGCCGGCGAGCTCCTCTCCCATCGCGCGGACGGCCGGGAGCTCCTCCCCGCGCGCGGACGCCGGCGAGCTCCTCCCCCGTCGCGCGGACGCCGACGAGCTCCTCCCCCGGTGTGCGGAAGGCCTGGAGCTCTTCCCCCGCGCGTGGACGGCCGGGAGCTCCTCCCCCAGCACGCTCCTTCCCCGGCGAGCTCCTCCCCCGGTGCACGGAAGGCCGGAAGCTCCTCCCCCGCGCGCGGACGCCGGCGAGCTCCTCCCCCGTCGCGCGGACGCCGGCGAGCTCCTCCCCCGTCGCGCGGGCGCCGGCTCCTCCCGCGGCGCGCGGACGGCCGGGAGCTCCTACCCCACGCACGGACGCCGGCGAGCTCCTCCCCCGTCGCACGGACAGCAAGCTCTTCCCCCAGCATGCGGACGGCCGGGAGCTCACATGTGGAAAAGATGACATGTGGAGCCAACTAATTTTTGTTTTGTGAATGACATGTCGGTCCCACAATTTTTTGTTTTTTGTTTTTACTCTTGTGCCAGATAAGCGACACGTCGACGACACGCTGGACGAAAACCGGGTCAACACTGCCACGTGGTCGCCACGTCAGCCAAAACCGCCTCCAAAACCACCCAGGGGCATAGTTTGCACCGGTTTTGATAGTTGGAGTCGATATGCCCGGTTTTGTTGTTGGAGGTTATGAATCATACTCGGGTCATAGTTGAGGGAGTCAAAGTATACTTTTTCCGCGATCAAACTCCACTATAGTTGAGGGAGGTAAAATGGACTTTTTTTCGTTCATATCAGCGTGTCATTTCCCAGGATTCTACTACGGCCCATGGTTGCCCGAGCTCACCATTGGCACATGGTGTTCTTCCTCCCAAGAGGAAAAAGGAATAAATAAAAAAGTGCGGATAACAATGGATGCACAAAAGCCTTGACAAACAGTCAAATTCAAGTGGTTAGCCGAAAGATCTCTTTTCCAAATCAGCTGAAAGCAACCGATGGAGCATCTCTCTCCTGTTCTCATCCATATTCAAACAAATTGTCAAGCGCACAAACACGCGCCCATAGTCTTTTCTTTTCAGAAAAAAACAATTAGTATCCCTTCGCTTTTGAATATATCATGTTATACGTTTGACTATTTATTTTAATAAAAATATCTACACAAGTATGAAAAATATAAGTTATGTTGAGGTATCTTTAAAAATAAAGATAAAAGATCATAACAAAATAAATAATAATTAATAATTACTCCTACGTACTTTCTCTGTTTTATATTAATATAAGTTGTTTTGATTTTTCTCCTCAATTTTTTTTCAAGTTTGATCAAATTCATAGAAAAATATATTCAGTGTTACATTTAATATAACTAATTTGGTTTTGCACATGTGGCTAAGCTTTTCTATAAACTTGATCAATTAAAAATATTTGTTTAAAAAAATCAAATCGACAGAGAGATATTTTTTAATAGACAAATAGTGATATGTTTGTCGTCAAAAGTCAACGTCGTCCTATACTGAAAAACAGAGGTATTATCTTAGTGATCAACTTTGTAGTTGGTGGCCACTGGCCTGGTGCTTAACCAACTTCGAGTTGAGGGCGTGAGGCAAGAACCGGTCAAAGGCTCTTGTGTATCCGTTATCGTGAGACTGTGTCCAATGGGCTTGCTTCCGCATCCGGTTTTGCATTTCCCCATCGACTGATCGACATCGTTGCCTTCGATGAAGATATATGCATTGCTTCAAATACTTTTGCACTCAAGTCGATGTACTAAAGCTGATTATCAAGGTTGAACATTTACTTATGTATATTCTCCACCCATACGAAATTACGAATTAGAAGGCTTCCTTAAGAGCAGGTACAATAGCAGAAGCCAGCTATAAACATATTTCGAAAATATAAAATAGGAGAGAGAAAAATAGCGAGCTATAAATTTATAGACAACTGCAATACGGACTTTAAAATACATGTGTATATGACAGGTGGGACCAGCTATAACTTGTGTAGAATACGTTTATAGGTAATTATTGTATGAATCTGCTATTAAATTGGCTATGGATAATTTGAAGCATGTAGTTGGTTATATTATTAAACTTGCTCCAATCCTCAGACGTACGTGAAGATGTGGCCGGCTACTTTTTTAAAAAACGTTAGTTGTGCTAGTTGAGGTTTAACCAAAACTGGTAAGATTTCACGGACACGTAATATTCTTTGAGCATGCGAGCTCAAAAAAAAAAGGTTAGTGAAAATTAAACTTCTCAAACTGCATATATACGGTTTTCCTTTGATCAACATGTATACTCATCGACGCTCCGTTTCTTGTTCGTAAGCTTTTGAGTGCCATGGATTATATATGCATGAAACTCAATATGCTCTTGCAACTTTTTTACGGGAAGACGGATCATAGTTGGTTAAGTTATCAAACCTAATTATTATTGGGGTTTTATTTTATAGTTTTATAAAAATGTCTCATCAATCGTCGTCTCCCTACTTCTTTACTAGTCACCCGTTGTCCCATCTTTTTATTGTTATTTGCCATCCCCTCGCTCACTCTCCCGTAGCAACCGTTACCTCCCGTCTCTTTAATTTCTCATCCGTTCACTTGTCCGCTCGTCCTCCATCCCTCATCTTTGTTGCTTTCAGCACCTTATAGAATCGAATTAGTTTTTAGATGATGCCGTCATCACTACTTTACTCCTTTATTGCCCTTCGACTCGCTCTTCCAAGGTATAACCACCTCCCTACTCCCTTTGTGACCTATCTACGTACTCATTAGTTCACGCCGTCTCTCTTCTTTATTGTCACCGACGCCTATAAAAATTGAAACTTACCGTTGCCATGATTAAGTTACGTCCCACAAGCTGTTGCCACCAAAACATACCCTGCCTTACTCATTTTTCGTCCATTAGATCGACATCTCGTAGCTCCTACTATTCGTCACTCGAGCAGCTTGCACTCCCGTGACGCCAGCAGGACTAATTATAGAAACCATTTCCAAAGCCCGATGTGTCATTTATTTAATTGTCACTCCTAAATTTTATCATTTTGGTAACCAAAATAGAACACAACTTTTTTCAGACCAACATAACAATCCTAATAATTATTTTGTTTTCTTAATATATTTTTATGTTGAATTTCAGTTATTACTAAATTATAATCCTACTTTATTATGAATTTTCATTATCTTTAAATTTTATTTGGAATTAGTGTTGAAAATCAATTTCAGAATATATTTTATGTTTCAATCTAAATTTTAGTTACTCTTAATAACCAATTTTAGAATTTATTTTATTTTTACTTCTAAACTTGGGTTACTCTTAGTTTTTAATATTTGTTTGCTATGGGCTCTTCTTGTTATATTCACTTTACGTATTAAATTTTTTATTGATTTTTTTAGATTTTAATGGTCTTTATAAGTTCATTTGGAATTTTATGAAAATGTAATTTGAGAATTTATTTTATTTGTTCCGAATTTAAGTAATCAACTGTTGTATTCTAGTTGGACTGATTTTTCAATACTCCTAGTAATTGTAATTCCAATTTGAACTATTTTTCTTTCAATTAATATGGGAATTTTTAGCATCCAAAGAAAGTTTTTATTATATATTTTTTTGAATCTAGATAGAGTACTATGAATCTATATATCTAGATAGACCTTCAGTGACGGAGGGAGTTTTATGTATATAAATATTAGGAATATTTTCGTACATGATTACATGATACTTAACATTTATATAATTTATTGGTGGACATCGAAAAACGTGTCTGACATAAGAACATCTAAAAATACTAATAATTTGTCGGAGAATATTTCTAACCCAGTTGAAGACAGAAGTTCCTAAAAGAACGATAAAGGGCGCCATAAGTTTCTATCCTGACATTATAGTGTGCACTCACTCCGTAAAAAAAAAATCCATTCCTAGCATCCTAAATTAGAATTAGTGAAAAGTGAGAATAAATAAAATATCTTTAATCATTAAAAAAAGTAGTGAGAGTGAGAGATAGGTAAAGAATTTTGAAGAGATATATCTTCTCGTTTTATGTACTGCTGGGAGTAGGGAGTAGGTAGGAGACAAAATTTAAACGAAGTTAAGTTTTTTTTTTTTGAACGGATGGGAGGCGGAGAATTGTGGTGTGGGAGTGCAGCACGACGCTAGGAATGACAGAAGAGTGATTATGGAGAAGCGTCAGGTAGTGGGGATGAAGGGCGTCGGGGGCGTCGGATCATGGGAGGATCGGTGGGGCCGACGTACGCACAAATGATTACGTGGAAGGATCATAGGATCTCTACCCTTGGAAACGAGTCACCGTCATAATTTCAGCCTTCTAGAGTATAATATCTCTGTCTCTAGTAGAAAAAGTATAAATTACCCCTAAACAATCGCGGTCGTTCGAGTTACCCCCTAAACCCTAATACCAGTTATTTTCAATCCTAAATTTTATAGACCGGATGAATTATCCCCTAGGTCGATCTAGGGCAATTTTGATCCTACGTGGATACATACATGGCACTCTAGTCAGCAAAACAAATAAAAAAGATATGGCACCCACCTATCAGCTAAAACAAATAAAACATGGTGGGAGGGACCCACCTCTCTACCTCTCTCTTTCCCCTTTCCCTTCCTCTCAATCTCTCTCTCTCTCATATGTCGCTGGGAGCAGCGACTAGGTGGCCAGTGATGGGCGCGGCAAGCGGCGGGCATGGCGGAAAGCAGGCGGAGGGCGTGGTGGGAGCGTGACGTTGCGGTGGAGGGAGTCGCACTCGAGGCGGAGGGTGGCAAAGTTGCGAGGGTGTCGATGGTCGCGTCCACGACGGCGACGCACGAGATGGAGCTGCACAGGAGGGCCGCGGCCGCCACTCATCCCTTTCCCCTCTCCTTCTCTTCCGACTCCCTCCCTTTTCCTGCAGTGCAGCGACGGTGGTCGAGGCGGAGAAGGTGGCGGCGGCGGTCCGGGCGAAGAAGGCGGCGACGTCGGCGGTGGTGGTCCGGACAAACAAGGTCTCGGTGGGGGAGGACGGCTGGTGGGCCCGGCGGAGGGGTGGCGGGGAGGGGAACCAGCTTCCTCGGAGCGTGAGTACTCTGTCGTGCGCAGCACCAACACCGTCTCCGCCACTAGCTGCCCGGGCAAGTTCCGCCTCAGCAGCCTGCCACTCGGGCAATCTCCGCCTACGCCGTAGGACTCCCGGGCGAGCTTCGCCTGCGCCGCCGATTGTCCGAGCGTGTGCGCCTCCTCCGTAGCCGGCCATCCGAGCGCATGTGCAAGACAGCGAGAGAGAGAGAGAGGGGATTGGGTTGATGAATGGTTACGACAGGTGGGCCCCAGCGGTTATTTATTTATTTATTTTCTGACTAGATTGCCATGTTGGCGCCGCGTGTATTGATGAATGGTTATGACATGTGGGCCTCAGGGGTTATTTATTTATTTATTTTCTGACTAGATTGCTACGTTGGCGCCACGTGTATAAGTTACGCAAAACCGGTCAAAACAGTGTTGAGGAGGGTTATATATCCGGTATTAATAGTTCATGGTGTAATATGTCTAGTTTTATGGTTCGGAGGTAATTCATACTGTCGTAATTGTTTAGGGGGGTAATTCGTATTTTTCTCTATAAAAATTGAAGATGTTTTTACTGGTATTTTGGTACGTCATTCGTATATGAGTCAATTTTATGTTCGTTTGCTTTTGAAAATACATATCCATATTTATATTGGTTTTTAAGTCTGTTTTTTTAAATACATATCCAAATAAGAAATCTCTTTAAAAAGACTCGCATGCTAACTTGAGACGAACAAACT